CACTGGGGAGAGCCTGGACCAAATGTCCTCAACGACCCTTTCCAATTTGTAAATTCCAAGAGAACAAGAATGCTCCAACGGTCCCATGGTGCCTGTCAGGAAGCGCCTTTCCTCCAGGGCAGCGAGAAAGGTCAAGGAACGGCGAGCATGAAGCTGGTCTCTCTAGAAAAGGGATGAAAATCCTCCTCCCAATCCTTCCCGGCTTGTTGTTTACCGCCACATAACGGGGCTTTGTTTGCCTGCCCTTCTCTAGGGCAACACGGGAAGCTGCCCCTGAGGTTCCCAGGGCGTACACATGAGATTTCTTCACGCCCCCCGCCCTCCCGCGCACGCACGCACACACACACACACACACACACACCAAGCCCCCCCAAAGAAATACACCCCAGAATTGTACGCATGTTCAGGTTTTGAATTACGGTCTTTGACAATATCTGGTCGTCTTCCAGTCCTGCTTGGGACCTTTGACCTCAGTGTGCAAAACAGAAAGGCCTTGTGCGGCGGGGATGTGGATGCGGACATGCGTTTTCAGATTGCACCCTCTCCTGGTCACAGGCGGGAACCGACCCAGCAGATTCAGATTCCTTGTTTGTTTTTCCTGCCTCGCAAGCCCCCGCCACCAGGGAAGCTGGACAGGAAACGTCTTGCTCCCCAGAATTTAATGCTGGCCTCCTGGGAGCTGATAGCTTGACATGCATTCAAATTCAACTATGGGGCAGCTTCCAAAATGCAGAGTTTATTTATTTTGGAAGCACATATTTCTACCAAAGAGCAGTTACTCATTAATCACCGAGAAGCTTCAACCTCTGGGAAAAGGACTCGAATTAGGATCTTTTCTTTTTTACTATATTCTTTTATTGTTGATGGTATTACAGATCTCTCCCATTTTCTCCCCCTCTTAAGACCTTTTCTAGAAGTTCGGAGCTGGGTCCTAGAAAACAGAGGACAGCAGGCTGAGAGGCTCAGGTCCTCAACCCATTCCATACCCTTGTCCCAGGCCAGGGGAAAGGCTCAGAGGGGGTTAGCACCCCAGGAGTCTGGCCAAGGACCTGAGAGGGGGAGTCAAAGAAAGAGGGGGCCCTGAGGGGTGGAGATGCCCAGGTGCTGGGGTGGGTGGTGGAAGAGGAACCAGGAGAAGGAGGAGGGCTCCCCTGAGGCCTGCAGGAGACAAGCAGGAGTGTGTGTTGGGGGTGGGGAGAGGGGGATTTCCCCTGTCCCCTGTCCAGGGCACCCTCTCTGGCCTGCTCCCCAGTTGGATGCAGAAGGTAGTTCTGGTGCCTGGCCCTGCCCAGACCCCGGGCACTGACCCTCAGGGACTCTTGCCAAGGGATACCCTGTACCAGGTGACTTTTTCCAAGGTCAGGCCAGCGGAGGCTGCCCAAGGCTGGGCATAAGAGTCATGGTGCCTCCAGTTCAAGGCTCTGGTGGTGGGTGGGGGAAGGGGTGCCTCCTTCTGCCCTCTCTCTGGACCAGCAGGAGTCCGAGGGGACACATTGGAAGGGAGGGAGAGCAGGAGGCCTAGGGGATCTGCTCTGCTGACCTCTGGGGTCAGAGCAGCAGCAACAGGGTGGGAAGGGGAAGGAGGCTGAAAGGCACCGCTCCAGAGGCGCCTGCCGGGTCTCCTGGGCTGTGGCAGACGCCTACCTGCTGGGCCCACATGTTTACCTGAAGAGTGGCCCAGGGTCTGAGCCTTGGTTTCTCTGTCTGTAAAATGGGTCACTTTGCAGACTCTGCCTCTTTTGCGGGGTGACTGGCCCTGCCTAGGAGGGAGTTGGAGAGCGGTCAGATGTGGGCTAACAATGCCCTCTGGTGGCTGGAGCTGGAGTTGCTGGGCTCCAGTGCCTGAACCTAGAGCAAGCATGTCAAACTCAAAGGCTAACACAGGCCAAATAAACAAGGTCTATGTTTAGGTGGACCACAAAAAAACAAAAGCTTCAATTTTCATAGAAACGTAGGTTTATTTCAGTAGAGACATGCTGAATACAAAGGGCTGAAATAAATGAGTCATCATTAACTTAAAATAATAAAACATTTTAATAAAAATTAATATTTTTTCTTGAACATTAACTTACCAGAGACACTCGGTGATGGATGGCTTGCTTAAGCTATGCTCAGCCATCTCAGCCATTTGTTTTTATTTCCCCTGCATGATAACAATATTATGAAATCTGACACACAGAAACCAAAACAGAGGCAAGCCCACAGTTCCAGGTTCCATTGGGCACTAGGCTCAACTCTGATGGGAAAAGGAGAAGAAGAATAAGGGATGGAAAGCAGTTTCAGCAGCAAAGAACCCGTCATCTCTGATATCGATTTAGATAGAAAAAGAACAGAAACAATTCATGACCAAAAAGAAGCTGAAGTCTGCAAGGCTCAGGGGAGCCAAGTTTCCTAAGGGCAGAGAGAACCCCTTGGCTTGGCTCCCTAGGAAAGTGATGGTGAACCTTTTGAGCTCGGCGTGTCAGCATTTTGAAAAACCCTAACTTAACTCTGGTGCCGTGTCACATATAGAAATTTTTTGATATTTGCAACCATAGTAAAACAAAGATTTATATTTTTGATATTTATTTTATATATTTAAATGCCATTTAACAAAGAAAAATCAACCCAAAAAATGAGTTCACGTGTCACCTCTGACACGCGTCTTAGGTTCACCATCACTGACCTAGATGGTGCCACCACCTGGGGACTTGGAGGGTCCCTTTCCTCTCTCTTTGTCTTCTCCATTTCCTGTCCTCCTTCTTTACCCCAAACTCCCCTGGGACCTCAGGGCTGCTTTTTCATGAGCAGATCAAATCCAGTTCAATAAACATCTATTCAGCAGGAGTTGAATGACCCTCTACTGTATGACCCGTTCTATGCTGGGTGTTGGAGCTACAGAGCTGTTTAAAACACAGCGAGATGGTCCAGGAAGCTGGAAGCTGGAGGCTAGTGGGGGAGCCACTGGGCAGAGGTTCCGTTTCATGAATGAATGAAAGTATGACACTTCCCAATAGTGAGGAGTCCTGTGTGGCTGGAGTGGAGGGGATGGCAGAGGGTCAGGGGGGTGAGATGGGACCCCCGCAAACAGGAAGAGTATGACTGTTGGACCCTTATTGGCATGATGACAGTAAAACGATGTGCAATGGAAGAGGAGAGGCCGACAAGTGATTTTCTTGTGGAGGATGGGGAGTCATGCGGGGGCGGGATAATGGAGCAGCAGCCCAGGATGCGGACCCCAGACTTTCAAAGGCTGGAGGGGTGGCTTTTAATTTTTATTTTTTAAATATATTTTTATTGATTTCAGAGAGGAAGGGAGAGGGAGAGATAGAAACATCGAAGATGAGAAAGCATCATTGATCAGCTGCCTCCTGCACACCCCACATTGGGGATGGAGCCTGCAACCAGGGCATGTACCTGACCGGGAATCCAACCAGCGACCTCCTGGTTCCTAGGTCCACACTCAACCACTGAGCCACACTGCTGGGGCCGGGGATGGCTTTTTAAATGTAAGTAATTCTCTTCTGCAGATGGCATGACTTGCTCTGGAAGGGGAGTCAGCAAACTAGGCCTTATGGTTCTTTGAATACTTAGACAATATTCTTGACGTTGCCCCTTGGCCTGCGAAGCCTAAAATGTTTTCTATCCGACCCTTTTAGAGAAAGGTTGCCAGCCCTGGGGGCCTGCACTGCCATTCTCTTCCAGCTGAGGAACTAACTCCCCGGCATGTCCAGCCGGCCTTGTACTCGGAGCGCCCCCAGCGGAGAGTGGCTGTGCCTGGGGGAGGATGCTGTCCACAGACAGAACGGTGAGGGGCTGGGGGTGAGACACCAGCAAGTGCCCGTGCCAGCCACTCGCCCATTTGACAAATATTTAGTGGGTACCTCCTGTTTGGGGCGACGGGAACACAGCAGGGCAGAGGGGCACGCGGTCCTTGCTCTTAGAGTTTCCTTTCTAACTGGGGAGGCAGACAAGAAGCCGTCCAGCCAAACCACCACAGGTTGTGCCATGTGCTCGGCAGAACACAGTACGCTGCAGTCAGGGAATAATGGGGGCTGTGCATGAAGGGCAAGGAGCAGAGGATGGGTCTCTCAGGAGGAGGCATGTCAACCAGCGACGTTCATGCTGGCGTGGGGTGGGGGGAAGCAAGGACAAAGGTTCTGAGCAGGAAGGAGCCAGTGTCTGTGTTGGGGAACGGAAGAGAGAGGAGGAAGACATGTGGCCCGCATGGCAGCATCCACCATGAAGACGGGCTCTCAGAGCTTTGACACGGAGCATAGATTTCATTCTACGTGCAATGGGGAGCACTGGAGGGTTGGCGTGACACGATTGCATTTATCTTGTCAAAAGCTTTCTCTGACCCGGCCGGCGTGGCTCAGTGGTTAAGCATCGACCCATGCCAGGACTGTGCCCAGTGGGAGGCATGCAGGAGGCAGCCAATCAATGATTCTCTCTCATCATTGATGCTTCTCTCTCTCTCTCTCTCCCTCTCCCTTCCTCTCTGACATCAATAAAAATATATTTTAAAAATGAAATAAAATAAAAAGCTTTCTCTGATTTCAACCCCCCACCCCCACCCCCTATTCTCCCACCCACACGAGGAGATTCTTGTTCAGTGTTGGGCTCTGGGGACACCAAGTAGCATGAGCCATGGCGCCTGCCCCTAGATCAGTGGTTCTCAACCTTCTGGCCCTTTAATACAGTTCCTCATGTTGTGACCCAACCCATAAAATTATTTTTGTTGCTACTTCATAACTGTAATGTTGCTACTGTAATGAATCGTCATGTAAATATCTGATATGCAGGATGGTCTTAGGCGACCCCTGTGAAAGGGTCGTTAGACCGCCAAAGGGGTCGCGACCCACAGGTTGAGAACTGCTGCCCTAGATGGTGCTCAACTCCTCTCCCTGCCTCAACCCTGCCCCAGCTCCCCTCCCTGCCTCAACCCTGCCCCAATTCCCCTCCCTGCCTCAACCCTGCCCCAGCTCCCCTCCCTGCCCCAGGACACTTGACACAATGTGGTCCATTGGAAGCGGGTTTATTTGGGTTGGTTTTCCATGGGGCTGGGCTGGGCTGGGAGGTGGCTGGGCTCTGAAACTCGGTGCTAGGGCTCTTGGTCCCCTTCCTCAGCACTGCGGCGGCCGAAGTCCATCCATCCATACGCTTCTTCCTCTTCCTCCAGCCACGGCCCCTGCTTCTTGGACAGGTCTGCGGGCCAGAGGCGGGAGAGGCGGTGAGGATGGGGAAGGACACGGAGCCCCGGGAACCGAGGCCAGGGCCCAAACGGGCTGGGGGAGGCAAGCAGGGAGGGCTGTCTGCAGCTCCTACCTGCCACCCGGTGTGGGGGATCCGGGAACCTCAGCTGCCTTTGGTGGTGAGGAGCTGGGCCCAGCTGGTCCGGCCAACGTGCCTCCAGGGCCCTCTTGGCCCCTGGGCCCGAGGGTGCGTCCTGCAGCTGGGAGCGGGGCTTCCAGGAGGCTTCCGAGAAGGCGGCCAGAGCCAGAGCCAGGATCAGCGCTTGCACACACAGCCGCTGCATCTTGTCTACAGAGGGAGCAGGGCCGAGCTTAGGGGAGGGCAGTCCAGGTGGGCTCCAGGCCCCCCCCTGCTGGCAGGTGTGCAATTCTGCGAGGGCTTGTGGGCTGTTCCTGCCAGTCCCCCCTCCCCCCCTGCCTCCACACCTTGCCCCTCTCCTCCTTCCCTACCCTATTCCAGCGGCTGCTTTTCTTAGAGGAACGATTTCTCAACTGTTATGCACAATTGGAAGCCACGTGAGCAGCTCTGTGGGTGTTTCGGTCTTGTCATTTAGGCCAACTTTAATAGCCAAGGGTCCAGCCGGCGTGGCTCAGTGGTTGAGCGTTGACCCATGAACCAGGAGGTCACGGTTCGATACCGGGTCAGGGCACATGCCCAGGTGGCCAGCTAGATCCCCAGTATGGAGTGTGCAGGGGGCAGCCGAGCGATGATTCTCTCTCATCCCTCTCCCTTCCTCTCTGAAATCAATAAAAATACATTTAAAAGGCAAAAACAAGAAAGGATGCTCTCTCTCATCCTTGATGCTTCTATCTCTCTCTCCCTTTCCTTTCCTCTCTGAAATCAATAAAAAATGTCTTTTTTAAAAAGGACACTCAGCAGTGATAAAGGACCACAGGGATCGCTTTGGAGACCTCCCGCACACTCACCGTGCCCAACACTAGCCTTGTGGGTTGTCCAATGTGGTAGCCACTGGCCCCAGGTGGCTCTTTACATTTAATTAATTAGATAAAAAGGTCCTCCCTTGCACTAGCCGTATTTCCAGCGCACGTGTGGCCGGTGGGTACCGTATCGGACAGGGCAGACATAGAACACTACCATCGCATGGGAAGTGCTTTCAGACAGGGCTGGCCTAGGAAAGAGCTTGAGATGGGGCCCAGGAACACGGGTTCCAGGCCCAGCCTTACCCAGTCATTTGGGTCACATCTCCCTCTGGGCCTCAGTTTTCTCATCTGAGAGGTGGGAGAATAGCGTTTGTCTTTCTCACCTCCCAGGGCTGGTGAGAGGGGGGGATATGGAGTGAGAGGGTCCGGGCTGGGCCCTGGGTGAAGCAGCAGGTCAGCTCGAAGGCAGGGGTCGGGAAGCCAGGGTGGGTCCTCATGCTGAGACCCAGTCCCACCCTGGGTGAAGGGGAGGGTCCCAGCCCTGGCGACACTGATATATGAGCCTGACAGGTGTGGGGCCCCATCAACACTCTTTCCAGCCTCTCCCTCCCCTCCGGGTGCTCTCACCTGCCGAGCCGGGAGTTGGGTGATGCTGAGGTCTGCCTGGTGCCTCTCGGTTCTCTGCTGGGCCGGTTGCTCTAGCCCTGCCTTATAAAGCCCTCAAGGCCCCTCCCAAACCCTCCGTTCCCATGAGGCCAGGCTCCCACAGCACGAAGAACCCTGCCCCACCCTGCCATTTCGTCAGTCACCCGGATGCGGGGGGAGGAAGGGGCATTGGTGAGGGGCAGAAGCAGGGTAGGGGCTGTTCTTCAGCTGGGCATGGGGGCAGGCAGGAGGCAGGCTTCCTGGGGCAGGAACAATGTCCCTGCCATGTCCTCGGGGTCAGGGGTCTGATGCGCATCCTTTAGGCTACTTCCTGTTGGGGGGCAGGTGAGGCAGGTGGACCAAATGACCTTAGACTCGGAAAGCATGTTTCGCCCATACTGATGTTTGAAGATCAGGGAGGGTGTGATCAGAGGGTGACGTATTGATCTCCTGTCCCGTCTGCCGGCCTCTGCACACAGGACGTGTCACCGTTATCAGGAGCAATGGGCCGTGGGCTGATGGCCTCGCTCTCCCTGCCCCGTGGCCACATCCTGGTTGGCTGTGAACCCTCACCTTCCCTTACCTGGAAACCCCGGAGTGTCGCCCCCTCTCCTGGTGCCCTCTGTGCTGGGCTGGATTTAGCTTGCAGCTACCCCACATCTCCCCAGGTCTGCCCCTCATCCACCCTCTTGCAAACCCCCTACCCAGAGCCAATTCCTTGAGGCTCCTGTGCCTCAAGGGAAGGCAGTAATCACATAACGCATTCACCACTTTTCAATATAAAAATACATTTTCAGCCCTAACCGGTTTGGCTCAGTGGATAGAGTGTTGGCCTGCGGACTGAAGGGTCCTGGGTTTTATTCCAGTCAAGGGCATGTACCTTGGTTGCTGGCACATCCCCAGTGGCGGGTGTGCAGGAGGCAGCTGATCGATGTTTCTCTCTTCGATGTTTCTAACTCTCTATCCCTCTCCCTTCCTCTGTAAAAAAAATCAATAAAATATATTAAAAGAAAAGAAAAGAAAAGCCAGCCACACATTGCAAGAAAATATTCACAGGAAATACATTTGACAAAGATTCGTATCCAGAATATATAAAGAACTTTTTACAATTCAATACAAACACATCAATATCCTAATTTTTAAAAAATGGGCAACAGATTTGACACTTCCCAAATGAGGATATATGAATTGCTAATACCCACATGAAAAGATGCTCATCATTAACTAGGGAAATGCAAATCAAAACTGAGATACTTCACACTTCCTAGAATGGCTAAAATTATAAAGACTAGAAATACCAAGTGTTGGCAAGGATGCGAAACAAAGGGACTCTGATACATTGCTAGTGGGAATACAATATAGTGCAATCACTTCAGAAAATAGTTTGGTAGTTCCTTTAAATTAGATATAAACTTAAATGGCTGAACAATTTTACTTCTAGCTATTTGCCCCACAGAAATGAAAACATATATCCACAAAAAGACTTGTACTTTAGTGTACACATCTTTATTCAAAACCCATGACCTCTTGGTTCCTGGGTTGATGCTCAACCACTGAGCCACACCAGTTGGGCTGGTTAGCCTGCTTGATAAATCGCTGTCTTGACCTCGTTTGGACGGATGTAACTAGCTCTAGGCTGTTTTTTATTTTTCCGCAGCTGGGCCTAGAGATTTTGCTTTTGTTAGTGCATCATCAGGGCCCCTTCTGATCTGGATAAGAGGCCGTGGTACCCACATTCACAGCCAGCTTTGCTGAGAATTAACAGGTGATGAAGGAAGCAGGCTGTGAGGTTTCCATGGCAACCAGTGGCCAAATGTTCTGGTGACTAACCATCCTAATGCAGCGCAGGTCTCGGTGACTCAGCAGATGGAATAAACGAGAATGGCAAAAACAGTGCTGGCATTGGTGACAATAATTGAGTCACAGACTCTCAGAGGCAGAAGAGACTTTGAGGGGGCTTGAGGGAGCAGCTCTGCTCACATCCTGGGGAAAAGAGAGGCTCATGTTGCTGTGGCAATGGGAAATGATACGCTTTCAGCAGAGTCCTGGTTTTTTGATTGATTAAGTTATTACATTTGTGTCTTTATCCCCACATTACCCCCCATCTTTGAGGGGGCTTGAGGGAGCAGCTCTGCTCACATCCTGGGGAAAAGAGAGGCTCATGTTGCTGTGGCAACGGGAAATGATACGCTTTCAGCAGAGTCCTGGTTGTACCACAACCCAAGTCTTGATTTCTACTAGGGCGATTCTGCAGATGAAGAAACAGGCCCAGACAGCTGAGCGATCCCTGTCCTGAGATCACATGACCAAGAAGGAGAGCTGGGCTTAAAACTCAGATCTCACCCAGCTGGCGTGGCTCAGTGGTTGAGCGTCCACCTATGAACCAGGAGGTCACAGTTCGATCCCCGATGTGGGGCGTGCAGGAAGCAGCCGATCAATGATTCTCTCTCATCCTTGATATTTGTATCTCTCTCTCCCTCTCCCTTCCTCTCTGACATCAATAAAAATATATTTTAAAAAAAATTCAGGTCTCTGTCCACCTAATTCCGGGATCTTTCTTCTCCTGGGGGGTGGGGTGGGTGTGGTGGGCAGAGACTAATGTTCTCCCAAAGATGTTTATCCCCCCCAACCCCCGGGACATGTGACTATGTGACCTTACATGGCAAGAGGGACTTCGCAGCTGTAATTAAGGTCGCAGAATTTCAAGTAGAGCGCTCTATCTGGAGTATCTGAGTGGGCCCCATTCAATCGGATGAGCCCATAAGAACAGAGAAGGTTCTTTGGCTGGAGGCAGAAGTGATGTGGCTGAAGGATGAGTCTGAGATCTGGAGAATGAAAGACTTGGCCTGCCCTTGTGGGATTGAAGAAGGGCGGGTGAGGGCAGCAGGCCGGCAGGACGAGGTGTGCGGGTGGCCGGCCGTCAGAAGCTGAGAGGGGCCCCCGTTGAGGTCCCACCTCCACAAAGAACTGACTTCGGCCAACGACCTGGATGAGCTTGGAGGCAGATTCATCCCAGAGCCTCAGGAAGGAACGCAGCCCTGGCCACCGCTCGATTTTGGCCCAGGGAGCGCGCTGAGCCTGGCCTTCTCACCCACAGGCTGCGAGAGGATGGACTTGTGTTGTCTGAAGCGCCTAAGTGGGTGGTGATTTTTAGGGCAACAACAGAGAATGAATGCGAGGGGCCCCAGCCTCCGGAAGGCTTCTTCCTGTCAGCAAGAACCGGGCCTGAGTGTGAAGGTGATTTTCCAAACACAGTTCAGGGAGATGCGCGTTAAGGTTTTGGGCTGCTCGTCTATTCCATTCTCACTGCGGGGAGTAAGCACCGGCAGGGAGCCAGGGTTTGGATGAGGCCCCGGGAATAGGAGAGGAGTGCGCCCTGGTCAGGCAACAGGGCCTTGGAGGATGTGAAGGTGCTGGGACAAATAGTGACACCTGGGAGGGGTTCGTGCCAACATGAGCATCTGTGGTCCCTCCCAGGGCAAGGGCTGGGGCTCGGGAAGTAGGAGAATGATGTGTGGCCTTGCCTGCTGTCTGGGACCAAGAGGACAGCCAGCTGCTGCTCTCAGCTGAGCTGGGGAGGCCACCCACCAAGCTCAGGGGCCGGGGACAGGCCTGGCTGCCTGGGAGAGTGAGCAGGGGCTGCCCCCAATTTAGCCTCTGCCTTCCCTCTCTGGCCTCCCCTCGCACGTTCTCCCCTGATGCCCACCTGTGCCTTTAAATACAGTGGTCCTCAAACTTTTTAAACCGGGGGCCAGTTCACTGTCCCTCAGACCGTTGGAGGGCCGGACTATAGTTTAAAAAAAAACTATGAACAAATTCCTATGCACACTGCACATATCTTATTTTGAAGTAAAAAATCAAAACGGGAACAAATACAATATTTGTATTTGCATGTGGCCCGCGGGCCGTAGTTTGAGGGGAGTAAGCACCGGCAGGGAGCCAGGGTTTGGATGAGGCCCCGGGAATAGGAGAGGAGTGGTGGCCCCTTTCTTTCCTCGCTTTGGTGGAGTCT